GGGGGCAGATCAGCTGTCCTTGCTGTGCCTCAGTGTTCCCCTTGTGGGCCCGTCTCCCCCACTGCCCATGCTGCAAACACTTCCCATGGGACGGGCCATGTGCTGATCCCTTGCGATGACTCACCAGCCTCTGAGAGGCTCCTTTTTTTCAGTTGTTGTGGCTCCTCGGTCCTATGTGGGTCTACAGGAACCCTATTAGTGGTCTTGCTAGCCTGGGGGCCACCAAGGCCCTCTTCTCCCCTGCCTTCTCCAAACAACTCCATCTGAAGGGCACAGCTGCGGCTTTTGCGGACTCCTGCCTCATGCACTCAGCAGCTCCAGCCTTAAAGTGGCCATGGCACGAAATGGTTAGAGCAGTTTTTTTCTTTCTCTCATCGTGGTTTCTCCTGCCTACATGGACTCCGTAGGTCTCTCCTCCTCTTCCCCTGAGCTCTAGCAGCCCCAGCTTGGCTCTTGTTGCTTTTTTATAGTTGTAAATTGGTTGATTTGTGGGAGAGAGTGACAGTGGGGACTATCTATTCCACCATCTTGACCAGAAGCCCTAAACATTATTTTTAATTGATAAATTATAGTTGTATATATTTGTGGGATACAATATTATGTTTTGATATACATATATAATGTGGAATGATTAAATAAAGCTAATTAACATATTTACCACCTCACTTATTTTTGAGGGTGAGATATTTGAAATTTAATCTCTTAGCAATTTTGAGATGCACACATTATTAACTATCATCACCTTTGTGACAATATGGATGAACCTGGAGGACATTGTGTGAAGTGAAATAAGCCAGGCACAGAAAGACACCTACTGCACCATCTCACTCATAAGTGGACTCTGAAAAAGTTGTAAACTTCTGAAGGGCAGAATCATTTCTTTTTCTCTTGACCTAAACATTAGTGGTTGCTTACCAAATGTTTAATGTTTTTGTTAACTTGGTTTGTAGTTGCGACAGTGATTCCATTAGCTATTATCTCACCAAATATTCTAACACAAGCATGCCTAATTTACTTGAATAACAAAGGAAAGAAAATCTGGAAGTAAAGTCATGAACACGCTGACCATAGTCTTGAGGGTCTAGAAAATGAAAATGTCAGGAGGGCAGCTTTCAACCCGTGATGTCTCTAGTTTGTGGCAGTACCAACAGTAATCAGCCATTTTCCCTTTACAGATTCGATTTCAGCCTAATGACCACAAAACTATCAAGGAAACTGCAGATGAATTGAAAATATTTGAAGGCATCAAACACCCCAATCTGGTTCGGTATTTTGGTGTGGAGCTTCACAGAGTAAGCCAACTTTAATCACACTGCTCTGTGTGAGGAATCAGTGAGGGTATAAAACGGAGTCCTGTTCTACATCACAGGTCTTCTCATTTCAGAGCACAGTAACTTTGCCTAATTATCAGGAAATCTCCATGAGTTACATCATTTCTGCCTTCTCTCTGAAACTAGAGGAGTTCTTCCTAAAATGTAAGTTGTAGACTGTAGTCATTAACCCGACATTATAAAGCACTGAAACCCATCCTGCCCATCAGAAGATTCTAAAATGCCCCGTACACTGCTTCTTGTGACCTTTCTTCCCCCGTTTTTTTTTTTGTTGTTGTTGTTGAACTACTGTTGAATACACTGTTAAGTAATACTGATTTTTTTTTATACGTATGTAAGGAACCATTGTGAAATGAGAGAAAATTAAAACCTCAAATTCACCTTCCCCTTTGTGTTTAGAAATAAATACATTGAGAGAAAAAAGATAACTTGGGGCATCTTGGCATAGAGCATGAGCTTCCAGGGGAAGTTGGGTATTGATAATTTTGAATTTTTTTGCAAATAAATTAATATTTGAAAAGGATGTGTTTCAGTACTTAATAATATATTTATAGGGACAGCCCTGTTGGTCCCTGTCTGAGATTATATAGCAGACTGAATTTTGGAGGATGACAGAAAATTATCCCCTGCTATTTGGAGGAGATGTTCTTACCCCAATGAGCTGTATAATTCCAGACAGAGGAGGCAGGCAGACACCGCTGTGGAAGAGTTAGAAACAACTGTTACAGGACACATTCATTACTCAGGTTGACAAGTATAGTGTACCATTAGAAAGGAGATTCCTTTGGGGCATGGCCTATGAAGTTTTCCAGATTTTCCACTTACTGTACATATAAGGGAAACTGTAAACACAGGGCTGTGTTTTATTCCTCCCACAGGAAGAAATGTACATCTTCATGGAGTACTGTGATGAGGGCACGTTAGAAGAGGTGTCAAGGCTGGGACTTCAGGAACATGTCATTAGGCTGTATTCAAAGCAGATCACCATTGCGATCAATGTCCTCCATGAGCATGGCATAGTTCACCGTGACATAAAAGGTAATCCCTACATGCGCTTGGCTGTCACGGGCTAGAGTTGCCTGGTGTCTGGCACACAGTAGCTGCTCTGGAGATGCACATTCCCAGTTCTACATACGTTCTCTAGATAGAAATGTCTTGTCTTTAAATATAAGAAACAATGCAGAACCCCTGTCTCCATTCATGAGTAGGTAAGTCTACTCTTTCTGCTCAACACTGCTTTTAGAAAAATCTGTTTCCCAAAAACAAAGTTAGCTATTTTTATAGGTAGATTTGGCATTGCCTGTGTACTTACTAGGCATTCCTGATGAAAGCAACCTTTCTTCTTCCTTGTATCAAGATCTTTGTATATTTGTATATGAATGTCGTGAATATGTAAAGTGACAGACAGTAAATCAGAAATGCCTCTATAAGTCATAATGTGCCAGCTGTGTTTTTGGAGACAACACTAGGGTTTATTTATACCAACTTCCAAACTAGAGTTCTGCTAAAGGTTAAATTGGTCATGCTGATTGATTAAAAGTGCTTTCTCTTCTGGTATGAGGGGAATAGCTATGCTTCTGTCTCAGAATTGTCACTGTGGCATTTTCCTTTATCATTCCATGCCGCTGACCTTTGTATTTGGGAGTCTTGGGGATAATTAAAGTGGGAAAGTATTTTATCACTAATTGGCCCTAGACTAAAGAATTCCATTCTGTCATGTAGCCTGAGGTTAACCTAAACACATTCTCTCAAGATTTAGCCTGACTTCTGACCAGGGACTAGACTCAGTCTGGGGCTCTGTTCTGAATTATATGACAGTCTGCTTTGGTCTGGGTGTAAGAATTGTTCCTGCTCTGTATTGTGGCTCACCCTAATCAGCCAGCATATGACAGTCTTGTTGGCTGCCTGCCGTCTTCACATTGCTTTGCTGTCTGGGGTCATTCTGGGTATTTGCTTAGTTGGCTCTTTATCAGCCCATGGGTTTGCCCATTTCCAGTCATTCTGCCACAAACACCATAATCAGTCTCTGTCCGCTGTCACGAAATGATATCTTCATGTAATATATCCCATGGCATAAAGAGAATCCCTCAGAGTCCTTGAATCAAGTCAGCTTGCTGGTGTCCTTACAGTTTATTCAGCATGGCTAAGAATATACACAAGTAGAATAGTTTCAAAATATGAAGTTAACACTGTGTAGTCCATTGTGGGGGCCCATCAAGTCTGGGAGCACTCAAATTATGAGGATTAGCTGTTAGACTTCAGTTTATCACATGGCTACTTGTCTAATTTGAGTGGCTCTGTGTTGCTTTTCGAAGGAGGTGCTATAGGACACCTCCAGATGCCAAAGATAGGTGACTTAGTCGGAACAGTAATCTTGTAGCCTGTAGCAAAAGGCCAAGGTGTCATGAGAGAAGAGCAGTAACCTCAAATTCTAGCTAGAGTACAATGTAGGCATGTATATTACTTGTAGAAATATTTGAAAATTACAGAACATTATTTTCAGTCAAAATGTAAAATAAATCCAATGGTGGCCTTAGCTATGACTCTGAAGAGTTGCAGTGTGTGTCCTAGTTCTTGTCTACATGTTGCTTTCTGTTATGGAAGCTGCTAATTTCATGCTGCACTAGTTCTCAGGGACTTCCACTGCAAGCATTTGTGCTTTGTATGCAGTTTCTTAGTTTGTGAGTTTTTAATGTTAGAATTTTTGCATGTATCTGTTCAGAATTTATTGGTCAAGTCTATTCTGCACTTACGTTAAAATTTCGTTGCTTTGTATTATTAATGTTTGCTAGTAAGACTCATCAATCTTTCTATGATTGCCCTTTGTAAGCAACATTTTATAAATCTTTATATGATTTAGCTTGCCAATAAAGGTCCTGGTAGTTTAGATTACCATGTAAACTTTAAAATGCTCATACCATGTTTCAGAGGCTGTTTAATGACTGTTTATTTCTTGTTAGGCGCCAATATCTTCCTTACCTCATCTGGACTAATCAAACTGGGAGATTTTGGATGCTCAGTAAAGCTTAAAAACAATGCCCAGACCATGCCGGGTGAAGTGAATAGCACACTGGGGACGGCAGGTAGGGAACAGCTTGGCTGCAGTGTGCCTGGTCCCCAGGCTTTCCCTTCACCATTCCTTGTCAGTAGGGACGTGGAGAGCAGGTGAGGATTTCCAGTCTTGGAAAGGACTGCTCCCTCACACGCTGGGCTTCACCTGAGAGCAGTTGTCAGGTTGGAAATTAAATTACTCCCTTAAAGTTAAAAGGAGGAGGAAAGGCCTCTTTTTTCCCCAGAAAAATTCTTTTTCTTGTTTGCATTAGTTTTATTAAAGCTGTTCTAGTTGACACAACGTGATGGTTAAATGGTAATTATTTGTTTTCATCATTTAGTGTAGTGTCATAAAATTTTGTATCCTCCTTTGCAAGTTAAATTTCCTATCTTCATTGTGAATACAATTTATTTGAAAATTTGCACATTCAAAAATTGTCTTTTAAAAGAGAATTTAGCCCCTAGAAAGATGCTTTATTACTACATGGTGCTGTGTTCATAACCCATGACTATCACCATATCTGTGACTTTTCAAGCATACATGGCGCCTGAAGTTATCACTCGTGCTAAAGGAGAAGGCCATGGGCGTGCAGCCGACATCTGGAGTCTAGGGTGTGTTGTCATAGAGATGGTGACTGGCAAGGTAAGCAGAGCCCACACCTGGAGGAACTTAAGGAAGGCACTGTGCACTGATTGACAGAGCAGTCATTGTGGTTTTGTTATTCATTATAAATACTTCAGACACATTTTCTGCTAAATGGAGAACTTGATTAGAAATAAAAATGTCAAAAGATAAAATAAGGTTAAGATAAATGACAAACTAGGAGACAATACATGTTTATAATATATATGCCCAAGAACTCTTATGAGCGAATTTAAGGAGGCACAAACCTCAAATTAAAACACCAAGCAGCAAGCAGTGACAAAAAAAACCATGAGGTTGAAAACACATGCCTATAGCAACTTTATTCATAAATGCCAAAACTTGGAAATGGCCACAGTGTCCTTCTGTAAAAAATGGATAAACAAACCGTGTTACGTTCATACAAAGGAATATTATTCAGTGATAAAAAGAAATGTACTATGGAGCCACAAAAAGATACGAATTTAAGGAGGCACAAACCTCAAATTAAAACACCAAGCAGCAAGCAGTGACAAAAAAAACCATGAGGTTGAAAGCACATGCCTATAGCAACTTTATTCATAAATGCCAAAACTTGGAAATGGCCACAGTGTCCTTCTGTAAAAAATGGATAAACAAACCGTGTTACATTCATACAAAGGAATATTATTCAGTGATAAAAAGAAATGTACTATGGAGCCACAAAAAGATATGGAAGAACCTTGAATGTGCATCACTGAGAGACGAAAGGTGTCAATCTGAGAAGGCTACATGCTGTATAATTCCATCTATAAGACATTCTGGAAGAGGCACAGCTATAGAGAGAGTAAAAGGATCAGTGGTTGCCAGGGGTTGGGGGGAGGGAGGGGGAAAATGTAGAGCACACAAGGGGTATTTAGGTCAGGGAAACTGTTCTGTAGGATACAGTGATGGATACATGTCATTATGCATATGTCCAAACCCATAGAATGTACAACACAGAGTGGACCCTAATGTAAACTACGGACTTTAGTTAACAATAATATATCAACATTTGTTTATCAGTTGTAACAAATGGACCACACTAGTGCAAGATGTAGATAATAGGAGGAATTGTGTGGGGAGGGGACAGGAGACGGGGAGTATGTGGGAACTCTGTACTTTCCAATTTATTTTTCTGTAGACTTAAAACTGCTCTAAAAAGTTGTATATTAATTTTAAAAAGGAAACGTGAAAAGATGATCAGCCTCAATAATCTGAATTGTACCTTTAAAAATGAAATTTTATTTTTTAACTTAGCATATGAGTGACATTTTTAAAGGTTGATAATGCTGTTAAAGAGGGTATAAGGAAACAGACATATATTGTGGACAAAAATTCAACATGATAGAACTGCTCTGGAGAACAATTTCCAATATCTATCAAAATTTTAAATGTGCATAGCCCTTAAATCAAGAAATTTCTGCTTCTGAAAATTTATCTTCTGATGAAGATACTACTAATGAACAAATTATAGAAAATGTACAAAGAAAGATACATACGTACACAGACCATATATCTGCACAGCATCAATTATAGAGCAAAAAAGTTAGAAACCTTATGTGTCATTACTAGGAAATTAGTTAAATTATTATACAGCTGTATTTTGCAGCTGCTGAAAAAGATCACACATAATTAGCACTCAGTAAATACTAGCTAATATTAGTTCTGTTTGCATTAAAATAGGAAGACGGCCATGATATCTATGTTATTTCATTCAAGCCATACATAAGAGAAAGGACAAATTCTCACATTGAAAATATATATTGGCAATAAATAAACAACAGAACCCAAATTAGAATGCCGTACAAATTTAGTTCTTTCTCCTGTGAATTGTATTTTTCCTCTCATCATAATTAAATAATCTAAGCTTTGGACTAATGAAATTTTCATTATTCAACAAGGTAGCATATTAAACATCCTTATAACTGTTGGATTTTCTATGTTTTATTGACTTTTTTTCATTTTATATAGTACATGTTTTAATTGCATCATGATGGCATCTAGATAGTATTGGACTAATAGCACATCCCAGATGGGGTGAGCAGACTGTGCTGGCAATCTGTTTTTATAAAGAAAGTTTTATTGCACCACAGTCACACCATTTATTTATATATTTATATGTCTATAGCTACTTTCGTGCTACAGTGCAAGAACTGAATAGTTGTGATAGAGACCATATGGCCTGTAAGCCTAAAATATTTACTAATTGGCCTTTTCAGGAAAAGTTTGCTGACCCCTGATATACATTAATTTTGAGATGCCTAAAGAGATTGGGCATTTGCACTTTTTATGGCCATGTAATATTAACAACTGATTTTTTCCTATCTTTTTAGAGGCCTTGGCATGAGTATGAACACAACTTCCAGATTATGTATAAAGTGGGAATGGGACATAAGCCACCAATCCCTGAAAGATTAAGCCCTGAAGGAAAGGACTTCCTTTCTCACTGCCTTGAAAGTGACCCAAAGATGAGATGGACAGCCAGCCAGCTCCTCGACCATTCGTTTGTCAAGGTTTGGCAGACTGCTGGATAGTCTTCTTCATGTTTAAATATTGGAGTAAAGTTCTATTTTGCATCCGGCACTTAAGGAGATTTGGAAAATTAACTATAAAATATCTATATCTGAAGTGGAAAGGATCTAAATGTATTATTATGCCAGGGATTTTTATATATGTTTTTTCATTTGGAAAGTGCTCACTGAGGTTCCCCTACCTGATCTGTTTTGGTAGTGTGCTTTAGGTGCACTTGAGACACTTAAATGGAATTTTAAATAGGACTGGATGGAAGACCTAGTTTTCACTCTTGAGAGTGTACAGTCTACTTGGAGGGTAGAGAGAGGTTAGTAGTGACAAATCATTATGACAAGGGCTCTGATAATGGTATGTATGCCATGTTGTAGGGCTACTGAGAAGAGGAATTTAAACCAGTCAAGTAATCACAGGTAATATTTTCTCTGGAATGAGGTACCTAAGCTGTTTGAGAGGGTTTGGCCAGGTCAGAAATGGGGGAGGTGCGTGGGTAGGGGTATGGCGAACAATGAAGAGGCATGGAAAGGCTCACTCACAGAGGGTGAGACAGTCAAGGAAGTGTATACAGGTGGATATTGTTGGAGCACAAGATGTGGACAGTGGCAAAAGATTAGGCTGGAAGAGTAAGGAGCAGCATGAAGGAATTTCAGTTTTATTATAAACATAACATGATTAAATCATGTTTCAGAATGATCACTCTGAAGGCAAGAGCCTAGTTAGGAACCTGTTGATACAGCTATAGGATTGGGAATGGGCGCTCAGGTTGAGCTCTCTGTGGTATTTAGGAGTTAGAATGGCTGAGTGACTGGATGTGAAGGGTGAGTGTGGGGAGGAGCCTAGGGAGGCTCCTGGCCTTGCATCACCAGGTCATAGAGATTCCATTCACCAAAATGGGAAAAGAGGGCAGTGCTTGAAGGGTGAGTCAGGTTGGTGATGGTTTTCTCCTTGGTAGATTAAGTTTGAAGTATGTTTGGAACATCTGCTTAGGGATTTCAGACTGGCATTTGGATATTTAGAGCTGACACTCAAGAGGGAATTGGGCTCGGGTCCAGATTTGGGAGACAGAAATGTTGCTGGGAGAGTTTATAGAGGAGAAAAGTTTGAGAATGGAACTCTGGGGAAATGCAGCACTGCAAGAGCCCTGCAGAGGAGCTCCTGATAAAGGAAAGGAAGGTGCAGAAGAGAGAGGCGACGCTATTGATGAGTGGGATTAAGGAGCAAGCACTGCATTAGCTGTAGAGATGTTAGGGTTTTGTAATTAAATAACTATTTCTTAGTTATAAAGTGCATAAACAGTTTATACTGAGCTGAGATTGTACATATATACCTTTAAAAAAAATGCTTTCAGTAGTCAATTCCCAGGCTTAATTTAGAGCAGTGACTTAGCACTGCCGCAGTTCATTATGTTTCTTCAGCCTTTCCCTCTGGGCCGGGCACAGCGCTGGGAGCCCAGGATGAGTCAGTGGGGTGTTTCCTTTACGTCTCGTACTGCACGCATGCCCACATGCATCTGCAGCTGCAAGGGCTCAGCTCCTTCCTGCTTCCTCACAGGTTTGCACAGATGAAGAATGAAGCTGATCAGTCTGTGGCCTGGTAGTGTACGGACTTGGAAAATTCCCTTACTCACTACTGTATGTAATATTTACACGAAGACTGTGCTGAGAAGCAGTATAAGCCTTTTTAACCTTCCAAAACTGAAGACTGCACAGGTGACAAGCGTCACTTCTACTGCTGCTCCTGTTTGTCTGACGTGGCACAGGGCCCTCCTGTGTGGTGGAGTCCACGAGGTTAAAGAAGCTGCATGTGAAGTGCCATTACTACTGTACGCGGGCCATCGCCTCCGCCGCCTCATTTCTTGCGTGACCGAGAACCGTGACATCAGTGTAGTGCTTTTGACCTTTCTAGGTTCAGAAGAAGTAGTGTTAGCAGGCGTTCCAGACCTTGTTTTTAATCTCCTGTTTGTCGAGTGCACTGACTGTGAAACCTTACCTTTTTGTTGTTGGCAAGCTGCAGGTTTGTTATGCAAAAGGCTGACTAATGAATTATAAGAAAAAGGTTCTTTTTCAATAAATGGTTTATTTTAGGAAAGCTCAGTTACATTGTCTTTTAATGGTTAACAGCTCGTGAGTCAATGCAGTAAGTGGTACAGAAGCCTGTTATTTTCACGCGTGTGTTTCTCAACAGAAGGAACTAAAGCTGTGTCCTAAAGATGGGCACTGGATGAGGTGTTCCTTTAGGATCTCGAATCTCCTCACTGTAAAGTGAAGGAAATAAAGGAAACAACACTAATGATGTAAGATATCCCTTTTTAATTATTTTGTGTTAACCAGCAAATTTATAACAGATAAAAGTTTAAGCCTTGTTATCACATGTTGGAGGCTCAGTTTATTTTTAAACCAAGTTGTATAGGTGCTAGGTCAATGTAAATACTGCTGAATGATCTCTTGATAAGCAGATTTTTCAGAATGTAAACATTTCAGCAGTCAGCTTTCTAAAATAGCCCAAATTATGTCACTGATGGTGTTCTTTTTATTTCTTTTTGCTATTAAATTTTTTTAAAAGATTGACCTTAAAGCTTCCTGAAATCTTTTTGGGAGATGATTGACTCAGTCCTTACATGCAGCAGCTGACCCTGAGCGACTAGTTTCTCAAGCAGGTTCTGTATTCACCTTCCTCCAGGTTAGTAGATCCCTTCAGCAGAAACTAATGTTCAGAAGCATCACAGAAGGATTTATACAAACACCTAGCATTCCGTTTTAATTTAAGTTTTTTACACAGCTTTTCAAGTTATAATTTACAGTATTTGAAAGGTACAATTCAGCGATGTTTTGTATGGTTATGTAATTGTAAAACCATCATTATAATCTAATTTTAGAACATTTTCATCACCCCAGAAAGAAACCTCATGTTCATTTGCAGTCACTCCCCATTCTTACCCCCAGCCTTAGGCAACCACTAAGCTATTTCCTGTCTCTATGGATTTGCCTGTTCTGAGCATTTTCATATAAATAGAATCTTACTATTTGTGGTCTTTTGTATCTGGCTTTTTTCACATAGCATGTTTCTGAGGTTTATTCGTATCCTTTGTACTGCTGAATGCTATGTATGATTATGCTTCATGTTTTATTTATCCACTTACTAGTCGATGTGCGTTTGGGTTACTTCCACTTTTTGGTTATTATGCATAATGCTGCTCTTAACATTACCGTACAAGTCTTTGTATGGACATATGTTTCCATTTCTCTTGAGAGCAGAATTGCTGGGACAGGCGTTTGGGTTACTTCCACTTTTTGGTTATTATGCATAATGCTGCTCTTAACATTCCCGTACAAGTCTTTGTATGGACATATGTTTCCATTTCTCTTGAGAGCAGAATTGCTGGGACATGTGGTAAATCCATGTTCAACATTTTAGAAACTTACAAAGTGGTGACACCGTCTTACATTCCCACCAGCAATGTATGAGGGTTCTAGCTTCCCCATACCGTCACCACTGCTCTTTATTGTCTTTCTTTTTGAGAAGAGCCATTCCAGTGAATGTGAACTGGTATCTCATCGTGGTTTTCATTCACATTTTTCTAATGATGGCGAATATCTTTCCATGTGCTTGTTGACCATTCGTATATTTTGTTTGGTTGAAACATCTATTCAGATCTTCTGCTCATTTTAAAATCAGGTTATTTGTCTTATTATTGAGTTGTAAGAGTTTTTTAATATATTTTGGATACAAGTCCTTTCCTGGATATGTGATTTGCAAATGTTTTTTTTTTTTCCCCAGTCTGTGACTTGTCTTTTTATTTTCTTAATGGTGTCTTTTGAAGCATGAAAGTATTAATGTTTTTGAAGTTTGGTTTACCAACTTGTTCTTTATTGCTTGTGCTCTTGATATCATATCTAAGAAATCAGTCTGTGACTTGTCTTTTTATTTTCTTAATGGTGTCTTTTGAAGCATGAAGTTTGGTTTACCAACTTGTTCTTTATTGCTTGTGCTCTTGATATCATATCTAAGAAATTATTGCCTGATCCAAGGTCATGAAGATTTACACCTGTGTTTTTTCTAAGAGTTTTATAGTTTTAGCTCTTACATTAGGCCTGTCATCTACTTTTAGTTAATTTTTTGTGTGTGATATCAGATAAGGGTCCAGATTCATCCTTTTGCATGTGGATATTTATTTGACCCTGGCATCATTTGTTGAAAAGACTATTCTTTCTCCATTGAATTGTCTTGGCATCCTTGTTGTAAATCAGTCATATATGTAAAGGTTTATTTCTGGACTCTTGATTCTGTTCCAGTGATCTATATGTCTACTATGTAGTACCACACTGTCTTGATTATTGTAGCTTTGTAGTAAGTTTTTAAAATGGGAAGTGTGAGTCCTTCAACTTTGTTCTTTTCCTAGATTGTTTTGGCTATTCTGTGACATTAGCATTTCCATATGAATTTTAGGACTAGCTTGTTAATTTCTAAAAAAAATTGGTAGGGATTGCATTGAGCCTACAGAACAATTTGAAGAGTAGTGTTATCTTAATTTTGTCTTTCAATCTGTGAACACAGGATATCTCACCATTTTGGCATTTAATTTATTCAGCAGTGCTTTGTAATTTTTATTATATAACTCTTAAACTTAAGTTTATTCCTAAGTATATTGTTTGTTTTCATGCTACTATTAATGAAACTATTTTTAAAATTTTATTTTCAGATTTCTCATTGCTAGTATATACAAATACAATTGATTTTCGTATATTGATCTTTTATCCTGTGGCCTTGCCAAACTCATTTAATAGTTCTAGTAGTGTTTTGTAGACTCTGTAGGATTTTCTACATGTAAAATCACGTTGTCTATGAATGAAGACAGTTTTACTTCTTCTTTTACCATCTAGATGACTTTTATTATTCTTTCTTGCCTAATTACATTGGCTAGACCTTCCAGTACAGTGTTGAATGGCAGTAATGAGAAAGAACATCCTTGTCATGTTTTTGATCTTAGGTGGAAATCATTTGTTCTTTCACCATTAAGTATGGTGTTATAGGTTTTTCATTAACGCCCACTCTTTGAATAAGTTTCCTTTTATTCCTGTTTTGTTGAGTTTGAGTGGGTGTTGGATTTTGTCAAATGTTCTTTCTTCATCTATTGAGATGATTGTATGGTTTTAGTCCTTTATTCTATTAATATGGTGTATTGCATTAATTGTTAAAAGATTGGTTTAACAACAATCAGTCTTGCATTCCTGGGATAAGTTCTAGTTGATCATTGTGTATATTCCTTTGTGTGTTTTACTGTATACATTTGCAATATTTTGTTGAGGACTTTCGCTTCTGTGTTTCATGAGGGATATATTGCTCTGTAGTTTTCATTTCATGTGATGTCTTTGTCTAGCTTTCGGTATCAGGGTTATGCTGGCCTCATTCAGTGAGTTTTCCTCCTCTCTTTTCTCAAAGAGATTGTGAAGGATTGGTATTATTTACAAAAGTTCTTTAAATGTTTTGGTAGAATGTACTAGTCAAACCAGCTGGACCAGGGTTTCTCTTTATAGGAGGATTTTTAATTACTAATTCAATCTCTTTACTTGTTCCAGGTCCATTCAGATTTTCTGTTTCTCTTTTAGTCAGTTTCAGTAATTGAAGTCTTCCTAGGATTTTGTCAGCTTTAGCTAAGTTGTCTAATTTGTTAACATACAGTTGTTCATAGTGTTCCATAATAATACTTTTAATTTCTGTAAGGTTGGTAATGATATCTGCTTTTATTCCTGATTTTAATAATTTGTATTTTCTCTCTTGTTTTCTTGGCTAAAGGTTTATCACTTTTGTTGATCTTTTCAAAGAATCAACTTCTGATTTCATTAATGGTTTCTATTGTTCTTCTGGTTTCCGTTTCCATACTAATTTTTATTGTTTCCTTCCTATTGCATGCTTTGGATTTAATTTACTCATCTTTTTTTTTTTCTAGTTCGTTAACGATGGAAGGTGGTAAAGACAAATCTATATAAAAATATACTATAATGATAGTAAAAACAAACTATAATTTTTTTATAGTTTACAATGGAACCTATATCTTGAACACAGATGGCTTCTCAATGAGAAAAAAAAATGTAATAATATAAAAGCAAGATTTTTTTTCCTTCTGAAATAGCAGCCATCAAGTGATTATTGCAAACACATGTGCAAAGTTAGTGGGTTTTTTTTTTTTTTTTTTTCCCCTAACCACCTTCTATTTTTATATTCTCTCTCCTCCTTGAAGTTATGGGTGGCTGTGTCACACAATTCCAGGAGTTGTTTACATTGTATTTTATTTATTCTTTAATCTTCATCTTCTTTGATAGCCCCTTTCCATTTTAGAATCGTTTTAGTTTCTGTAGAATATGTCTTTATTTTGAGCTGAAGTTAACTTTATCGTATTGCTAATTTGTATTCTGTATGCCTGATATATTTGAATATTACTGTTTCCCTTCACTCCAAGTCCTTCATCTCTGCCTCCTGAGTTCCTTCTATAATAGTTTCTAATTCCCAGGCTCTACTTCAGCTTGTCAATGCACTTTTAAAGAATGCGTCAGATTGTTATTTTAGGTGTTCTAACAGAAGCAGGAATACTGCATTCCATGTTGTAGATCTCTACTAATATTAATGCAACAAAACAGGCATGGTCCCTGCCTTCATGGAGGCAGGATATATAGTCTACAATCAGGGAGACAGATCTCGAACAAGTATTTAAATGTGAAATACCACCTCCCACCCCCAGGCCTTTTCTCTCTCATCCTGGTGGTTTGTATGAGGGAACTAGACTAGTAAGGAAAGTTTAGAGAAAGCCTTTCTTAAGCTGGGAATGTAGCAATAAGCTAGGCAAGAGGGAAGGAATGAATGAATGCAAACATGTGCTGGGGAAGGGGCAGAAGGAAGAAGCAGAGCACTGGCCACAAAGGGACAGATGGCCATGACCAGGCAAGCGAGAGTGGCAGGGGTAGACTGCAGGGCCCGTCCACGTTCCCTAAAGATAATGGGCAAAGCATAGGAAAGATCTGCATTTTCCCAAATTAAAGTTTTATGTAAGTTTTAATTTCATTTCATCCAGTTTATTAAGCTGGGCCTTCTAGTGGTATTTACCGCATACTTTATTAATTTTATCTTTGTTCAACCCATCAATAAAAAATTTCTGCAGATTGCTACACAGCAGGGGAAAGACAGCACCCCAGCTGACATTACAGTCCATTTATCAGCTCTGTGTTTTACATTAAAAAGCGACTGTTCATCAAGTCAACTCATCCGCCCAGTCCACACATTCTCTCCAGGACTCGCCGCGTGGTTCTGTCAGATACCTTGCAGAAATTCAGATTCACTAGTTCTAATAAAGTACTTGAAAAGGCACAGTTGGTCACTCTAATGTCATTCATTCACAGGGCATCTTTGCTATCTCCTAGCCATTACTGATTTCTTTTAGTACTCAAAAATTGTACATTTAATAATCTGTTCCAGAATGTTGCTACAAAGCAGTCTGTAGAATTTATTCATCTTCCCTTTTTAAATTGCCTCCCTCCAAGTCTGTTTCCTCAAAGATTATCCCCTTAGTGCTTCC